CAAGATATTAACTTGCTCATTAATTATTTCGTTTCTTCGTTCAATGGCGACCACTTGTCGTTCAACAATATCAGATAATCTTTGGGTCAACGCATTACCTTGACCAAGGTAATCTGTAAATGCATCGAGCCTCGTAGTTAGCCTGTCAAATTGTGCATCCATCACATCAATCATTGGGGCTTTTCTTTTTGTGCCTCGAGATGACGATGTTCCAGTAGTACCACCAGATGCAGCAGATGGCACTGACTGAGTACCATCAACAGGACTACAGGAACCATAGTGTGGTGGCGACCGGTATGCTGTATCAAACCCTGCCTGAAAAGGGTCGTCCTGTGGTATGTCATCCACATCATCGTTCAAGTCGACCGTTACACTTGGCATACCGATATTTCTACGGGCTTGTCGCGCAGTCCTAGCCATATGGCCTGTCGCCCGATCAACTCCCCATAATTCTTCCATCAAGTCATAGTACCTAATGGAAGACACTCTCCATTTAGCTGCAGCTGGCTTCGCCTGCAAATAAAAACCATCATTATCACCTATAATTACTATGTTTCACTAATTCAATAAATCCCGAATGTTAAAACATTACCTGCAGCAGGTCATCCCATACTTCAGGCTCAGCTATAAACCGTTTCGTGGACTCATCCCACGCAAATCCACTAAGTCCACTAAACAAGTCGTGAACCTCCCGCCATCTATCCTTCATGCTTTTTTGTCTATTTTTAACATTATTTTTCGTGATACCCGTTAATCCAGTCTGTCGGAGGGCTTTAACAATATTATTGTATGCTTGGGTTGTCCAACTACCATCAACCCGATTGCCCAACCTAGCCTCGTCAAGCATGACAGTTAATAAACGAAAGTCCATGTCATCAGTCCATTTGGTGAACTCGCGGACCGTAGTCGAGGAATCAGGTAGAACAGTTTTTCCGCTGTTCATTTTCTACCTATTACAAAAACAAGGCACACAATGATGATAATCATATGTAAAATTTATGAATGAAAACTTCTAACAGAATATTTTATTACAATTACAACATTACATCTTATTAAATACATTATTAAATACATGATCTAATTATTAGTATAATTTGTCCACATTTCATATGCGATAGCATCCTGTATAGATGACCCTTCCCTATGATCATCCTCACGAGCTTGAGTGGGCATGGTATCCATAGGTTGTTCCATCAACTCTCGATCGACCTCTGCTAACAGCGATTCATCATTGTCTACGCCTCGAAGAAAATTGTGTAAAATGCAACATGCTAGTACAATATTCGTCATTGTATCGAACGAATAATGCGGTTCTGTTCCACTAGCTATTATAGGAAATCTTTTCTTCAAGACGCCAAATGTTCTTTCAATCACATTTCTAAGTGACGAATGTCGATGGTTAAACAATTCTCTTGGGTTTTGTGGAGCTCTTCGAGAATACTCTTTAAGGTGATATCGAACCCCTCGATACGGCGTAATTATTTGTCCTTTTAACATAAATCCAGCATCCCCCAAGTAGTATTTACCTAATTAAAGTCATTGAAGTTATACTCATTATAATATCGTAAGTACGTTACTATACACTAATTACGAAGTAAATAATAACTAACCTTGTGGTATGATAAGTGGATCCTCTCTACCTAGGACATCCTTTAATATTCTTGAATCAGATGCTGTTCCTTCCCACCCTCCTAGAACATATGTGAATTTCATGTCGAAATCACAAGCTGCGAATACGTTTTGGGTTGGCCAATCTTTTCTTCCACGAAAACGGGGGGCATCTGATCTTCCTACTTTAACTCGGACATGAGTTCCATCTATTGCCCCTAAACAATCCTAAGTACAAACAATATGATAGTAATACGTTATTTTTAATGTTCAAATACGTCTATGTGATGTAATACTTTAGTTTGGCACTGAATTACCTTAAAGTACGGGTAAAACCGGCTATTGTTTAAGATAATTACAACATTACATCTTATTAAATACATTATTAAATACATGATCTAATTATTAGTATAATTTGTCCACATTTCATATGCGATAGCATCCTGTATAGATGACCCTTCCCTATGATCATCCTCACGAGCTTGAGTGGGCATGGACAACAATCTTCACCAAGTGTTTCCATCAGGAGGCTCGAAGTAAAGCCAATGTCGAGGCTTCGTTGGCCGCTTTCCGGACCGACTGCGAGAACAAGATCATAAAGGAGCATGAAGCGGGCTTTATGCATGCGATTTGGCAGGCTACCCACTTCGGCTCCTTTCCCTCCCACTTTTCACTCGAGCTGAGCAAGGAATTCTATCGGGGGGCTTACATGGATTTTGTTGACATGCCGGATGATGCCGAGCCAGATGAAGTGGCCCCGCCTCGTTCAGCTGTCCTTGAAGACCCCGGGACTACTGTGAAAAAGGATGAGACTCAAGGTGGGGACGACCGAACTGCCAATGCCGACTAAGGGGTTCAACATTTTTGTGCTTTTTGGATGTACATCTGTTTTGGTGATGATGTATATGTTTTAGGGTATACTTTTTGTTGTTGGGTCAGTTTTCGGCCATTTTGTGTTTTTTGTGACTTGTCTTCATACCCTTGTACCTTTGGCCGATAGTGCCTCTTTAAGTGTTTTCTTAATGAAATGAGTATTCTACTTTTCCTTCCTCTTGTGCTCGTCCTTTGACTTTGTTCATCATTTTTTTAAGCTTCCATTTCAGGTGCGTGGGGTTGGCTTGCTTTATGCGCTGTCCAGGCATTTGGGTTAACGTAGGTGGGGGTAAGTTATGTCTTGGCCGAGTGCATGCATTCGGATTGGATTAGCATTTTTCATCCTTGGCCGAGTGCATGTGCTCGGGGGGTTTCGAGATATGTCATCCTTGGTCGAGTGCATGTACTCGGGAGGATTCAGGGTATTTCATGTTCGGTTGAACGTGAATACTCGGTAGTGAACCGTTTTTTCGTCCTTTGTCGGGTGGGAGCACTCAGGATTGAATTACATATTCTTCCTTGACCGAGTGGGGGGTACTCAGGAATCATTTTTTGTCTTCGGCCGAGTGGAGGCACTTGGGAGGGGGTTGATGTTCCACTTTTGGCCGTGTATGGACTTGGGATGAAGTTATTTTCAACCTTTGGCCGAGTGTATGGGCTCGGGAGGGAGTTATGTTTTCAACCTTTAGCTGAGTGTATGGACTCGGGAGGGAGTTGTTTTCAACCTTGGCCGAGTGTATGGACTGGGGAGGGAATGGTATTTTTCAACCTTGGCCGAGTGTATGGACTCGGGCGGGAGTGATATTTTTCAACCTTGACCGAGTGTATGGACTCGGGCGGGAGTGATATTTTTCAACCTTGACCGAGTGTATGGACTCGGGCGGGAGTGATATTTTTCAACCTTGACCGAGTGTATGGACTCGGGCGGGAGTGATATTTTTCAACCTTGACCGAGTGTATGGACTCGGGCGGGAGTGATATTTTTCAACCTTGACCGAGTGTATGGACTCGGGCGGGAGTGATATTTTTCAACCTTGACCGAGTGTATGGACTCGGGCGGGAGTGATATTTTTCAACCTTGACCGAGTGTATGGACTCGGGCGGGAGTGATATTTTTCAACCTTGACCGAGTGTATGGACTCGGGCGGGAGTGATATTTTTCAACCTTGACCGAGTGTATGGACTCGGGCGGGAGTGATATTTTTCAACCTTGACCGAGTGTATGGACTCGGGCGGGAGTGATATTTTTCAACCTTGACCGAGTGTATGGACTCGGGCGGGAGTGATATTTTTCAACCTTGACCGAGTGTATGGACTCGGGCGGGAGTGATATTTTTCAACCTTGACCGAGTGTATGGACTCGGGCGGGAGTGATATTTTTCAACCTTGACCGAGTGTATGGACTCGGGCGGGAGTGATATTTTTCAACCTTGACCGAGTGTATGGACTCGGGCGGGAGTGATATTTTTCAACCTTGACCGAGTGTATGGACTCGGGCGGGAGTGATATTTTTCAACCTTGACCGAGTGTATGGACTCGGGCGGGAGTGATATTTTTCAACCTTGACCGAGTGTATGGACTCGGGCGGGAGTGATATTTTTCAACCTTGACCGAGTGTATGGACTCGGGAGAGAATGGTATTTTTCAACCTTGGCCGAGTGTATGGACTCGGGAAGGAGTTGTTTTAATGACTAGGAATCCAGGAATTTGTGTGGAAATTCTTCAGGATGAAAAACTTGTTTCATTGATGGGGTGCCTCGTTAAAAACTTTTCCTAGTAAAACCTCTTACATTTTCTTATGAGCAAAAAACCTAGGGAAGGAAAAGAGTACACCGAAACAATTATACATGGAGTGTCAACTGAAATAGTGCTTTAAGTGTGTGACATTCCATGTTCGTGGAATGGTTTTTCCATCGAGCTCTTCAAGTTTATAGGTTCCGTTATTGAGATTGTGCCTTACCCGGAAAGGGCCATCCTAGTTGGCGGCTAACTTTCCCTGCATCTTGTTCTTTCTTTCTTCTCTGGCGACTCTCCAGATAAGGTCACCCAGACAGAACTCCCATGGCCTAACCTTGGTTCTGTATTTTCGGGACACCCTAGCTCTGCATGCTTTCATGTTGACGAGTGCCTGATCTCGGGCCTCATCGACCAAGTCAAGTTCTACACTGAGTGCTTCGGCATTGGCCTCTTCGTTGAATTCTTGTCGTCTTAGAGAGGGTTCTCCTATCTCTATCAAGATCATAGCGTCCGTTCCATATGTTAGCCAGAAGGGGGTTTCTTTGGTGGAACTTTGTGGGGTGCACCTGTAAGCCCACAGGATTTCAAGTAGGTGTTTGGGCCAGTCCCCTTTAGCCTGTCCTAGTCGCCTCTTCAGTTCTCTCAGAATGACCTTCTTCGCGCCTTCTGCTTGATCGTTGGACTAGGGGTGCTCTACCGATGTAACCCGATGCTTAATTTGGAGTCCTTCGAGAAATTCATTGAAGCGATGATCCATGAATTGGAGACCATTATCTATGATGAGTGCGTATGGCACCCAAAAGCGAGTAATGACACTCTTCCAAAAGAACTTTTGCATGTTGTTTGCTGAAATTACAGCAATCGCTTATGCTTCGATCCATTTGGTAAAGTGGTCGACCGCTACTATCAAGAATTTCATTTATCCTTTGGCTGGTGGAAAAGGTCCCAAGATATCCATTCCCCACACCGAGAAGGGCCACGGGGTCGTGATGAAGTGTAACTCCTCGACGGGTTGGTTTGTCAAGGGTCTGTGTTACTGGCAAGGCTTGCATTGTTGGGTGAACTTAATATAATTGCTTGTTAGAGTTGGCCAGTAGTATCCAGCGCAGATGACCTTAGCTGCCATGGTCTGCCCACTTGAGTGAGTTTCACATATTCCTTCATGAATTTCTCGGAGGACATAATGAGCCTGCTTAGGCGTTAGGCACTTCAACAGTGGTGTCGAGACACCTCGCTCGTATAATTCTCCTACAACCAAGGTGTACCAGGAAGCCGTAGTTCTCATCTTTCTTGCTTCGAGAGGCTCGGTCGACAATTCTCTGGTTAGTAGATAGTTGACAATGCTAACCATCCAATTGTCGTTCCCTTGCTGAACTTGTAGGCATTCGGACTTGCTTACACTTGGGCTCTGTAATTGTTGCTGTATCACGCTTCGTAGCTGGCTGGTTTTCTTGCTGCTTTCCAGTTTTGCCAACTGGTCGGCTCTGACATTGAGTTCCCTTGGTGTGTGGCTCACGTGGACCTCTTCAAAGTTGGATTTGAGCTTATGAAATGCGTGGAAATATAGGAGCAATGTCGGTTCCTTGATTTGAAATGTGCCATTTACTTGTTCTGTGTGAAAACTTGGGAGTCACTCCAACATCTGACTCTGGTGGTGCCCAGCTCATTTGCCAGGCGCAGGCCGGCTAACAAAGCTTCATATTCAGCTTGGTTGTTAGAAGTTTTGAAGCCGAAGCATAGTGATTGTTCTATCACCACGTTGCCTGGCCCCTCCAGTTGATGGAACTACTTGGAGAAGGTTGATGTTCTTCAAGTGAACCGCCCAAGACCTTTGAACTCTTGAGTTATAACTCTTCAATGAAGGAAGAACTCCGTTGAAGAAACTTCAATGGAGGAGAAGCCTTGGATGTTGTTCGACCATTCCAAGCTTAATGGAGAAGCTTAAAGAACCTTGCTCAAAGGTGAAGTTCCTTTGAGAAGTTCCTTTGAGAGAAAAACCTAAGGAGAGTCTCCACGGTTTTGTGACTTAAGAGAAGAGAGAATTCTAAGAGTAAAAATCTGAATTCATTCATCAAAAGTGAGGTAATAGCTCAGATTTAAACATATATAGGGAGAGGTAGCTTAGAGAGCAAGCTAACCTTAACCATGGTTCACTAGGAACCATGGTAAGGTTTAGCCTAACCGTCCATGGTTTCTAAAACTTGTAAGGCAAGCTAACCTTGACCATGGTTCACTTAAGAACCATGTTAAGGTCAACCTAACCTTCCAAGGTTTAGAAACTTGGATGGAAAGCTTCTAAACTTGAAGAAGGAGACTTAGAAATCCGGCCAAAGGTGAACAAGGATGCTAGGCGGCCAAGACTCTTATTTGCTCACTTGATTTATTTCAAAAATATTTGATTTGGTTTAGTTAGGTTCATCATATGATGATGAGACCTAGCTAAATTAAATCTATGAAAAATTAGGAGCAAAATAAGTCTAATATGTAAAATTTTG